ATTTTCTGGAAAAGTCTTGGAGGATGATCATGATGATGAGTGTACCAATTGTTGATGATGATCGGAGATGGAAGAAAGGATGAAGGTCGAAGAAAGATTCTGGGAAAAGTGACCTCCGGCAAAGTTGGTTACGGCGGCCGGAGTAAGTTAATGTGGCCGGAAGTTGTTGGGCACGGTGGTTGCATGGCCGCCGGCCATGCAACCGGCGAGGCTTAAGGGAGGACGCGTGGCACTGGTTGGTGGAGGCGGTTAGGGCATGCAGGACGCGTGGAGGGAGAGGGACTTAGTAGGGTGCCACGCGTGTGGCATGCAGGGAAAGTGTGGGACCTCTTCTGAGTGGAGAACGTGGCAGACAGAGGAAGCAGGGAAGGGTGATGTGGCTGCGTGATGGTTATGATATGTGGCTAGCTTCCTTATGCAACACGTGGCTGACTCATTATATAGGACAATGGATAATTCTGGACCTTGAATGAATTGGGCTTCGCAGATTACCACCCTGGGCCCAATACGAATGAAACCCTCAAAAATTGAAATGAAATGGACAAAAAACTGAATTAAAAAAAAAAGACTAATTAAATGTTGATTAATGATGAACTAAACTTCATTAAAAAACTGATTAAAGACTTAACCCTACCATTAAGCTACATTGAAAATTAAGCTAATCTAGACTCTAATTAATTCCTAATTAACACCTAAACAAAATATTAAGACCTACTAATTCCCATTAATTTCTAAAACTAAACTAAAAACCCTAATAATTCTCTAATCTAAAATTAAGCTAAAAACTCTAATAATCCCCTACTCTAATAATTCCACTAATTAAACTTCTATAAAAGAAAATCTATTATTAATAAAAGAAAATCTATATTATTCTATTATTCTAAAATGATTAAAAATCTATCTAAAAAAAACTATTAAAAATATTAAAAAACCTATTAATATTCTATATTATCCTAAAATGATTAAAAAATCTAATAAAACCCTAATAAAATCTAATAAAATCTAGAAAAATCACAATAATTCCCGAAGGAACAAAAATAGCACCGAACGGCAAATAACACTGCGAGAGCGCACCAAAATAGCGGTAAAAATAAACGGGCACCGAAATATCCCTAAAAACAACAGCGCGAGCTGAAAACACCGGGAAGAGCACGGCTTCCCGAAAATACGATTCTACCTATCTAAACCGATTAAAAGCACGCGAGACGAGGGCTGTGATCCCGATAAAATCAATGCAACTGAAAAATGCACTGTATGCGATATGCAGATGCGAATGCGGTCATGCGTCGAAACATCGAGCCAGATACGAAACCCGGTTGGCCAAATTTTAGGGTGCAACACCGCGTCCCAAGCGGGACTGGGCTGGGCCTGCCTGACCAAGCCGGGGCCCAGGCCAAAACTCTTTTAAATTGAATGAAGAGGAACACATAAAAATTGACTCAACCGAAAACATAATTATTTTATAATTATTAATAAAATATTTCTAAATATCAAAATTTTTATTTTTCTCATGAGTTATTATCAGCAAAATATCTATTTTATTTTAATTAATAATTGTCATTATTGAGACACAAAATTCTTATTTTAAAATGTCAAATTTTCTATTTTTCTCATGGGTCACTATCAACAAAATAACTATTTTATTTGAGATACAAAATTCTTATTTTTAAATATCAAAATTTTCTATTTTTCTCACGGGTCACTGTCAGCAAAATACCTATTTAATTCTAATTAACAATTTTCTTTATTTGAGACATAAATATCTTATTATCAAATGTTTAAAAAAAAAATTTCACAGATCACTATCAGCAAAATACATTTTTTAATTAACAATTTTTTTTATTTGAAGTACAAAATTCTTATTTTCAAATGTCAAAATTAAATTTATATATTATTATTTATTTTATAATTAAATAACTCACTTCAAATTTACATATATATTTAAATAAAATCGGTATCATATCAAATAAATTTACTCATACGAACGCACAAGTATCTTGCTAGTATGTCAATATGAGAAGAAAAAATTTGTTGATATTTATCTTTTGTTAATTCTTTGCCATTAAAATTTTCGAAAAAAATAAATAATTATTTTTTAATTCCCTTTAATTTAATCCATTTACATTCATTTATTTTATTTTTAAATAGTTTTGATATTTTTCTCAATTTTTATTAAAAAAGTATTGAAGTGTCATTTTAAAAATATTTAGAATATAAAGATGATATGTATTCTTTTGTGTCACATCATTCAAAATATTTATTAAGCCTTAAACTATTTATAAAATAATTAAAAATTAAAAACAATTAATTATTCAATTTTAACGATTATTCATGAACCTAATTTTTTTTCTGTTTTTTTCATTCACTTATGGTCTTACGGCCTTCAAAAATCTAAAAGCTTGTTTCTTTATCTTTTTAATGCATTTGATTTTTTTTATTATTCTCATAAACTTTTATAAATTCTAATTAATTTTCTACTTAAACTCAAAAAAACGAAAAACAAAAATCTTATTTTTTATGGTTGAAATGTAAATGGTTCTTTTCAAACTTTTTGATTTGAAATTTTTTAAGAGGCATAGACGGATACGCTCAACAACAACTAAATTCTTATAAACTCAAATTAAATCATGATAAACCCAAGTCAAAAAAATAAAAATAATAAAGAAGAAATTCAAATGAGCATAAGTCTTTATGCTAGAATAATTTAAACTCAAAAATGAAAATCACTTGTGAAATTTAGAAGTGAAATTCAAAAATAAATTTGTCATACCATTGTTTTTTATTGTGTAATCTGAGATGAGATTTGTTGTACTATTGTTTTTATCGTGTCATCTGAGATGGGAAGTTAGGGACGGGGCGACCAAAGAAGGAGGTGCATGTGTCATCGTCAAACCATACACCTGCGTTTGAGGAATCACCTGATAGCACGGAGAATCTAGAAACTCCAATTATCAATGATTTACATCATAGCGACAAGGAATCTGAAGACAAGAAGGTTCAATCTGAGCAGGAAACCCTATAGTAGAATGACACAGAGGAAAACATTGGGGGTTAGGAAATTATGGGTTGATGTTTTCTCTGAAAATCGAAACTCTGCAAAAGGTATAGCTATTGAATACATTGCTCCTAAGCTTATTAATGGTGAGATAGAGATTGAAATCGAAGAGGAAGATATTGCGTCTGGAGTGAAATTTTGGGAGGCCGCTCTTATCATGTATGTACATGAAGGGGAGGTTAGTATGAACTAGGTGAAACAATTCATGACTAAATCATGGAATTTCGTCCAGCTACCCGACATGTACTATCATGATGAGGGTTATTTTCTACTAAAATTCAGAACACATAAAGACATGGATCTTGTCATGATGAAGGGACCATATACTATTAAGCACATGCCCATGTTACTGAGGGAATGGAAACCTGACTTCAACCTCAAGGATGATATATTGAGAGCCCTTCCGATTCGGGTCAAACTTCCCCAATTACCTCTCCACCTTTGGGGCCTTAAAAGTTTGAGCAAAATTAGAAGTTTTTTTGGGAACACCACTTCTCATAGACGAATGCACTGCAAATAAGCTCTGAGTATCATATGCAAGAATCCTTGTGGAAGTGGACATATTACACATAAATTGAAGACTAACATTGCTATTAAAGACAATGAAGGGAGAAAGATTGTCCAAGAGGTAGAATATGAATGCACTCTAATGCCTCAAAACCATAGGCACAATGCACTCTAGTAGGTGTCCCTTCTTGCACAATCCTCTTGCCTTTGTCTCTGCCACTGCTATGAACATTTGTCCATTCTCCTTCCCCTTTTGTAGGGTTTCGATTTTCAGAGAGAACATCAACCCATAATTTCCTAAACCCCATGTTTTCCTCTGTGTCATTCTGCTATAGGATTTCCTGCTCAGATTAAACCTTCTTGTCTACAGATTCCTTGTTGATATGATGTAGATCATTGACAGTTGGAGTTTCTGGATTCTCCATGTTATCAGGTGATTCCTCAAACGCAGGTGTATGGTTTGACGGTGACACATGCACCTCCTTCTTTGGTCGCCCTGTCCCCGACTCCCCATCGTTTTTTTGTCTCATTTTATTTTAAGATTAAAATAATAAAATAGTTTATTGGAGAAGAAGTTTATTTTATGTTTTCTCAAAATACCCGTAAAAAATGAACATCTAAACCATAACCCGCTAACAACGTCAACAAAAACCTAAACTTTATAGGAATAGTCACAAGCTATCAAAAACTCAAACTCTCAATCTTCATATCTCATCTCAAATGACGCAATAAAAACAATAGTACAACAAATCTCATATCAGATTACACAATAAAAAACAATGGTACAACAAATTTAATTTTGAATTTCACTTTTAAATTTCACAAGTGATATTCAAATTTGAGTTTAAATTATTCTAACATAAGGATTTATGCTCATTTGGATTTCTTCTTTAATTTCTTTTTTATTTGGGTTTATCAAGATGTAGTTTGAGTTTATAAGAATTTAGTTGTTGTTGAGTGCATTCGTCTATGCCTCTTAAAAAATTTCAAATCAAGAAGTTTGAAAATAACCATTTACATCACAACCAAAAAGAATAAGATTTTTTTTTGTTTTTTTTTTTTTGAATTTAAGTAGAAAACTAATTAGAATTTATGAAAATTTACGAGAATACAAAAAAATCAAGTGCATTAAAAAGATAAAGACACAAGCTTTTAGATTTTTGAAGACCGTAAGACCATAAGTGAACAAAAAATTAGGTTCATGAATAATTGTTAAAATTGTATAATTAATTGTTTTTAATTTTTAATTGTTTTATAAATAGTTTAAGGCTTAATAAATATTTTGAATGATGTGGCACAAAATAATACATATCATCTTTTATAATCTAAATATTTTAAAAATGACATTTCAATACTTTTTTAATAAAAAATGAGAAAAAAGATCAAAACTGATGATTGCTTGGAATGTTAGGGGACTGAATAACAAGGGTAAGCTTTGATGGAGTATTTGAATAGGCTTCTCTCCAAGATGCAGCATAATCATAACTTTAACCATCATGCCAAGTGTGAAAAGGTTAAGATCACCAACTTGGATTTTGCTGATGATGTTCTTCTCTTTGCCATGGCTGATTGCAAATCTGTTGAGTTGATGATGGAAGCCCTTGACCTTTTTTCTAAGTCCACTGTTCTGATAGTTAATCCTAGGAAATGTAAGGTCTATTTTGGTGGTGTGGATGATGATATCAGGAACCAAATCATAAGCTTGATAGGGTTTGAACAAGGGACCTTTCCCTTTAGATACTTGGGGGTTCCTCTATCCAGTAAGAAGTTGAATATTCACCACTACATGAGTCTTATTTATAAGGTGGTTGGAAAAATTAAGGCATTGGAGCATCTAGCTTCTCGTCTATGCATAAAATATGTGTCTTTTGTTATGGCTAACTACTGGATGTAGTGCCTCCCCCTCCCCAAATAGGTGCTACAAAAAATTTGATACTACCCTGATATCCTTCCTATGGAATGGCAAGTATGAGATTGGGAGGAATAGTCCAATTTCTTGGAAACATGTGTACAGTCCAAAGAAATATGGCGGCCTCAATATCATTGAATTGAATACTTGGAACAATACTACTATGCTTAAAATTTTATGGAATCTTTGCAGAAAATCTGAAAACCTATGGGTGAAATGGTGCATAGCTATTATGCCAAGGAGAGTGACTTAATGGAGATGGTTTCCACTGATAGTCAAAATTGGATTATGAAGGCAATTCTTCATCAACGTGAAAACATGCCCCACTTGCAGGGCCTGTGGCAGCACTTGCTCCGTGGAGATAGATTTGTTTCAAAGAAAGTGTACATGAGACTTAGGACCACTGGTATGCCGACTATCAGTTGGAATCAGTTACTTTATGGCCATGTTACTAGGCCAAGGGCTATTATGACTATGTGGCAAGCATGCCATGGCAGGCTTCCAACCAAGGAAAGGCTTCATAAAATTGGTATGCTAAATAATGTGAATGTTGTTTCTATCCAAATGATGAAACCCTCAATCACCTTTTCTTTGGTTGTCTAGAAACTATATCAATTTGGAGTAGGATTCTTGAATGGATACAAGTGGCTCATGTTCCTTTGGATTGGAGGGATGAAATGAATTGGATAATATCTCATGGCACGTGTCATACCCTAAATTTGTCCTACCCTTTTTTTTGTGAATATTTTCGCATTTGGTTTTATAATTCGTTCGTTTTATTATTTATTTTGTTTTTATCCCCTTTTATTTCAATATTTTATTTATATTAATTTTCTTTCTAAAAATATAAATTATTTCTTTTAGTTTCAAGTTTTATAATTTGTTTATATTAATATTTAATCATTTATATGTTGTGTTTATATTAGTGCATAGTTGGTTGTCGCAAGTGCAGCAGCCGCGACACAATAGCCGTGACTTTAAAATCCTACCTGCAACACGACTCTGCTACTTTCAATTTAGCGCACGCAGCAACAACACTTCCAAGTGACGAAAGACTCGGTGGTTTGGGAGCATAGGCGGTGTCGATTTGAGGAGCTGAAAGCAATGTCTTGCTGCTGAGATTAAAGCAAAGGGAAAGCTACTATTCCAACACCGTTCAAACCTCACACTCAAATTCCAGATCACAACAAGCTTACTGTAGTTTTCTAAAGAGCAACTCAGCAACAACTCCAACCATTCAACATCATTTCGTCTATGCGGTAATTTCAGAATCGATTATCCTATTTTGTAATGTGTCAATGTTGTACTTACATATTTGAGGCTTGTTTCTGTTTAACATTTTTAAAACTGCGTGTCCGATTTATTTGTGGGAATTGTGAGCTCGGGGTTTCTTGTCGATTGGTATTTGGCTGCTGTTATTTTTGCATTTTTCGGTTTGGTTCTACTTTGACTGTGTGTGTAAATTTTGAAAAAAAGAAACATTGCTACCGCAAAATGTATAGACCACACACATGATTTTCGATGGTAATTTTTGGATTTTGGTTATGCGCGGGTCAAACTACGACAAGTTTATGAAGATAGTGGCGAAGCGAGAAGGGTGAATGGATGTATATGCTTAGCTCTTTATTTTTCATTTTCAACTTTGGTATTGTTTTGCTGCTCTGTTTGTTTATGTGCAGGTTGAGAGAGGGTTAGCAATATTGGTTCCATCCAGTTTCATCACGACAACACATGATAACTCAATAGTTCCACAACACAACAGGCTTCACAAACTCAACAACCTTCACACCATTCAACAAATCACAACGCAAGCACAACCGACAGTGAAGCAGCACCTATGACGGCAACGAAAGACTCGGCGGTTTGTCACATTTTGAGACAAGATTGTGACAAACTGTTGGGGACAGAAATGTGTGCAAGGAATGTATAGGTTGGAACATGGTAGCATTTCAACAATTCTGTCTCAACAACTCTTCAACAATGCAACAGGAGTCTCAACATCCACATCGCGACGCATTCAAACAAGTGTGTTTCGGCAACTTCGCAATGAGAACCTTCAGGATTCATCCTAGTTGGCTCTACAACAGTGGACCGTGAGACGTTAAGGGTAAATCTTTCGAACAGAGTGTATTTCTGATAAGCTCAGTCTTGCGGTGTTTATTTGTTTTGTGATTCATCTTTTTGAATTATAATGAACATGTCATAAATTTGAGTTTTAACCCTGTATCAGTTTTAATACTAACTTGCAGTTTGATAAATGTTAGCAATAATAATTGTTGTTTCTAATAATAGTTGTAATTTTAAGTATGTTGTACTGTGTGTGAATCATTGAATCTGCAATCTGAAGATTTGTAATCCATTTATGCCGCATTGTGTCGTGTTTTTTTAACAATAATATTATGTGTATTTGTGTGTTTATGCTGCCAGCGTTTATCCGTGGCTGCTGCTGTGCTTAACTCGTGGATTGTTCGACGTTTCGGTAGCGTTTCGGTCCAGTTCTTTTTTTCCCTCTTACCTTGTGGTGAATGTGCTGTTATGGAAATGGTGTTGTTTCATCACTGATAATTCAATTTTGATTGAGCGAATTTGCGTGTTACTTGAATGTGTATGTCGTGTTCTTCTGTTGTGAATGATGTATCAGTTATGTGTTGGTGTTGGCATTTGCAATATGGTCACTTTATGTTGGCGTTGTTGATTAAGTGCTCATCAGTTTGTGTTTGTTTATCATTTCAATTAATTTGTGTTTAGGTGCGAATCATTGTAAACTGACCCGCGTAGCATTCTGTCTTGAATTTCTTGCCGTCTAACTCGATTTCATTTCAGTTTCTTCACGTTCGTAGGTCTTTCACTTTTCTGGTTTGATTTAATATTGTGGATTTAGTTTTGAGTTTTTGTCATTTTGTTTTAGTTGCTTTTGCAAATTGTATGTCAATGTTAATTGATTAAGTTGGATGGATGCATTTGAATTACGGTTTGATTCATTGTGCATATTGTGCTAGCTGTCGCTGGAAATTTAAGGCTTACATTTTGGTGGTAATAGTGTTTGAGCTTAATGTTGTGTTTGTTACATGAATTTGAGAGGCAGTGTTTACCTTCAAATTAATAACAGCTGCAGGATCTGACACTTTTGTACCCCGATTTGCCATGTTCCATGTCATTGCCTTTAATTGAGGCACAATATTCTGAATACTTGTATTCTAAATATAGTGTCAGATCAAAGCTTCCAAAGGAGGTTTTTACCAGAAGCAAAATGTGTAATAAAATAGTTTTTGCAATTTAGATACCGGCAGAACGAGCATATGGATAAGGCAGTGGTAATGTTCAAGTTTTGTGAGTTCTGTTACGCTACTCATTTTAAGCAAAGTTTAATTTTTTTTAAAGTTGCTTCTTAATGTTTTATTAGATCATTTAATTGTTTTTTTTCGTTCATTGCTATACTAATTGATAATTGATCTTGTATTAAGTTAAATAATTATAATAGGCGTTTTAAATCCGATAAAACTTGGTAAGCATGTGATTGAGTTGATTTAATTGTTACCCTAATTTCATTCCCATTCACTAATAATGTACCCCTCTCCCTCCAAATGTAATAGTTATTTTCTCATTTATGCTTTAATGCCTCAAAGCAATTTTCAAAACAATAAACTCTCGATTTATCGAGTCATTTTTACCCATGTAAGTTGAGTGCTTTAAAAGCCTCGCCATCGACCTCGACTCACCTTGAGTACTTTTTTTTCAAAGAAAATTAAATCTTTGAAGTCTAGCACTTCTCGGGTTTTTGGACGAACATTATTGGGGTGTACACCTTAAATAATATGTCGTTCTACTATTTGTTTAGTACGCTATTTTGGACAAAGAAATATCATAGGAATCTAGCATTCTGTGTGATATTTCCGTTGTTCATCCAAACATTTTCGAATGAAAAAGGTGTTGTCAAGATCTAGCATCTCGATAATACTCCGATTAATTGGTTGTGAGGCCGACGTCTCATTTATCAAATAATTATCACTTCTCCTAAATTATTTTCATACCTCGTTTCACTTCAAATTATTTTCAAAACATTTTATCGATTAAAACTCCGAAAGAAGGAGGTACTTGGAATCTAGCATTCTTTGTATCTTCGAGCGAATAATTCTCGAGGCACGCCCTTGAGTTGTTATTCACTCAACCTTTCGACTTTTTTAAACTCAATCATTTTCCAATGTTCTCCTAAGTCGAATGCTCGTACGCATTCGCAACCCACATTTCACACACACTTCACAATTCATCGTGGTTTCGATATTAGGGGCACTCTTAGGGACTAATATCGTTTCTCACAATCTTAACCCTTGACACGTCGTCAAGTCGGTTCTATCTTCAATCTGGTTCTTGACTCGTCGTCGAACCATTTTCAAACCAACTTCCTTTTGCCTCGCATCCCCATTTTCGATTCAATATTTCTACAAACGTTTTTAAAACTTACGAAAGAGGGATATTCTTAGAATCTAGCATTCTTTGAATGTTCGAACGAATAACTCTCGAGACACACTCTTGAGTTGTTATTAGTTCATTCTTTCGATTTCGAAACATCCAACTCTTTTCAATCCAATTTCCGAAAGAATTGAGTTCTTGGGATCTCGCATTCCTTGAAATTCTTGAATGACAAGCTCTTGAGGCACACTCTTGGGTTGCTTGTCAGTCACTCTTTTGTCTCTCAACTCAAAGTCCAAGCCTATTCAACCTCACCTTTTCGTGGTTGTTACCACGAACTACGACTGCTCTGATTCTTCATTCTCGTCCGAATGTAAGATACGTAGGCACAAGATTGCGATGATCTTGGCGAGCACATTTCCCATTTTCCACACTTCTATCTTTCTCCATCTTCTGTTTCCCAATCTTTCCCATAGTCGAACTACGACGCTCTGATTTCTCATTCTCGTCCGAATGAGCATACGTAGGCACAAGGGCCCCAATCCTTGGCGAGCACCCCATCTTCTAACCACCCATCTCCCCTTAGCGTCTTTAACCTTTTAACCTACCAATTCTACCTTTATAATCGAGAAGAAAACAACCAAACCTAGACAACACTCTCCACAAAATACCTTAAGAGGTTCCCGTTGAGTACAACGGACGTGAGGGGTGCTAATACCTTCCCCTCACGTAACCGACTCCCGAACCCAGAACTTGGTTGCGACAACCCTGTTCCTATCCTTTTCGTTTTAAGAGGTTTTCTCGATATTTTCCTCTCCCGTTTATTCGGGATAAATAAAGTTCGGTGGCGACTCTGTCGAACCGCATTTCCGCGCCTTTCACGCGAGGGTCGTTTCTCCGAAATGTCTCCGTGATTTTTCGAGGTGCGACAACTAGCGACTCTGCTGGGGACGTTTGCTCCATGCAAAGAGAGAGTCAAGCCTATCTTTTGGTTTGTGAGGAGTGTTTGTTTGCTTTCCTTTTCGTTTATGTATTTGTTCTCTTGTGGATTTTATTTATGCTTGTTATCTTGTTTGCCTGTTGGTTCTTGGGATGACATCATGAGTAAAGCTCTATGCCCAAGCTTTGGTAAAAGTAGAGAGAAAACTTAGTTTAGAATTGGTAATCGAGTAGTGTTAGTCACCAAGGATTCA